GGTGAGATTATTTATATAAGATTTTCAAAGAAAGGGTAAAAACCTGGTATAGTAGGTCATCAACAGGTCAGAGTCCAATGAATGAAGATGGGGTGATCGAAAAAGTGAGATTATTCTGGGATTACGTAAATGTGAGATTATTGTGAGAAAACGAGTGAAAAGTGGGATTATTCTTGTCAATTTTTTCTTACTATTATTTACATTTGAGCTTGCACTATGAAATAGTTTAATGGTAAAAAAACTCTATTTGTATACTATACATACAAGACGACTGGACGGAAGCGAGACACCATTCTGAAGCCCCGATCCTCGCCCATTTAGGGAGTGTTTGCAACTGCTTAAAAAAAGCGCTTCTCGACTACTTAAAAAAGCTGAAATTAGTGTTTTCAAGCAACAACATCTACTTAAAAAAGTGTTTCTCGGCTTTTGTGCGAAAAGTTCTTTTTACTTTTTCTATTACACAGAAACACTTATTTACGAAACACTACCAACTTTTACTTTTCAAAATAACTTTTTTCTCAAACACTATCAACTTTTACAATAATCACTTTTTCCAAATTCACTTCCAAAAGTGTTTTTTTAAGTAGAAACAATTGCAAACACTCCCTTAAGACGGGTCTTAAATGGATCGAGGCAATACCAAAACTGTTCTAGAACATTCTAGAATGGAACAATCACGAATTCTTGAGGAGTTACGTTGGAGATGCCGCAGAGCCGAACCTTCTATTGAGGCAAAGAGGCAATTGCCTCAGGCCCAAAAATTTTGGTAAAAGATAGGGGCCTATAAATAATTGTATACTAATACGGAGTACCATATATATACAATTTTTCTATTTTGTTAAATTTAATAAGAATACAAATAATATCAATCAAAATAATATCATGTTGTATGTAGGTTTTAAGTATTTGATGTAGACATATAAATTAGGTTACTGCTTATATATGAATCTTAATTCTAAATTTTACATTATTCAAACACTTTTTACAAAAACATTTAAGGACGGGCTCGTGATGCAACTTATTAAATAGTTTATTCTTACTATGTAACTTTAATAGTTTATTCTTAGTTTCCTACTCTTGTTCATAGTTTACATCATAGATAGTATCTCCAAACATAAATTAAAAGTTAATTTAGTTCTTTATGTTTCAATTGGTATCTTTTATCCTATCAACTTGTTACTTGATTGCTCGGTACGTTAAATACGGAGTATTTCACTATTTTGTACTCCCTTAATTTTGTTGGTCAACTTGTAGTCATTTGTAACTTGATACTCGTATATATATTGTTCCAAAAGATGGAATCTCCCATCCTAGGAGTCTCCACACTTCGACCAGACATGATGCAGAATGAGTAAGTCATAGTGACTCAGTCGGGTCAATAGTGGTAGGTCTTATACCCACGCGCACCTGAGGTCCAGCCCAGCGCGCAGAAGCTGTGACCTCCACACTGTCGCTGCGGGTTTCGAGTCTTGATCATTATTCTAAATTTCTCATCACTCAATCAACTGAGCTACCCGTGCTCGATATTAACTTGATATATGTCCAATCAATCTCATAAATCGTTTTTCACCGTAATAATATGAGATGCAACTAGATCAGCTCAGTACGTAGTTATTGAACCGATCAGATCAAGTGCACTTTAGAAAAACACCTTTTGAGACGACCTTATCAAGTGATTGATATCATATATCCCAAATCTTCTTTTCTTTCCAGTTTCCAGAATTAACTGCAGTTGTGAATCCACTTTGTTTACGTAGTACTACGTGCTCCCTCCGGTCCTTATTAGAGTTCTCAGTTTGACTTCACACAGACTAAGAAAATAAATTTGACTTTACTGTGGAGTGCACTGTTTGACACTTTTTGGCACTGTTTGACACTGTTTTGTTTCCCAAAATGGAAGTGTGAACTTAAATAAGGGACATCCCGAAAAGAAAAGTGAGAACTTTAATAAGGACCGGAGGGAGTATATATTATGCCGGGTCAACGTCCAAATCCCATTATTAATACTGTCTCCGTCCTAAAATCGTTGGCCAAATTTTCCTTTTTTTGCCGTCCCAAAATCGTTGGCAATTTCCATTTAAAGAAAGGAATATGTGGCTAAAGTTCATTCTCTCTCCTATGCACAAATTTCAACCATACAATTTTTACTTTATTAATCTACGTGCAAGTCAACATTGGCCAACGATTATCAATCATCCATCTATCTAATTAGATCCTTAAAATCTTGTGTTGGTTAATTAATGTATTACTTTGGCAATAAACAGAAACTTCTCCCGTCCTTGTAACGTTGAATTGTTTTTTTTTTTACGAAAATGACGAAAATGACATAAATATATGCCTTTATTGATAAAAAAAAATGGATGGATTTGATCAAATTCTCATAAAAAATGATGGCAAAGTTTAAATACACGGAGTATGAAAGTATGAAACTTTATATAATTTGCAACAGTTTAGCTAGGATTTAAAGTGTATCGTACGTCTATACATAACTTCTTATTTTTTTATAATACTTGTGGCTAGTTTTTTATACTAAAGATGTTGATAAAAGTATAACTTTAATATAATTCGGTGGGCGTAGTTCAACTGGTAGATAAAGGGTTTCACAAAAGATTAAGCCCTAATTGCAATCTGTCTGCTTGCGATTCAAGTTCAATTTATATCCTCTCAGTTAACTGTTCAACCGGTGTTGGGGACTCACGGGTATGAGTGTTTGCATCTTTTTTGTATAAAATTAAAGAAAAGTAAATAATAAAACAACACTTACATATCTAAATACACAATAATGCCATTCCTAGCCCCTAAAACTTGGCTAGATTCTATACATAGCTATAACACTCCTCTTTTAAAACTTTGCAAGGGCACTTGTCAAATAGAGCGTTTTTAGATGCCTTTAAAATTGGACGTACTCGTGCGCCATTATTTTATAATAAATTAAATAAAGGCAATTTGAATTGAGGTGTCCAGAAATAATCATATGATGTTGAATGAAATAATAAATAATGAAAATGTGGTGCTTAGAGAATATGTAGCCAGATGATCCACTCCCTTGTCGGTGTCGAAGGTGTTGGGTGACGAACCAGTCGCATTCATCGAATTTTTGTTTAATAATAACTCGAAAGAGAATAATCAGACGGAATTCATGTCAACTGCATACCATTTCAAGGAGAACATCAATGCCACATTTCTGCCTTTCTAAAACTAGCCTTCTTTTGCGTGGTCCAGTCTTGGATGAAAATCCAAGGAAATGGGCTTGCTTCACACACGAATAGTATAGTATAAATCAATAAAATTGATCTTTAGGTTGTCGATTTATTATTCTGTTTCATATAAATATGATCACACTAAACTCAATCTGACCAGATCAGACTAGATCATACTAAGCCACATCAGACTTTGATAGTACGTTGTGAAATATACATAGAATAAACATCTATCTAATCAGACTTAAACATATACACGATAAAAAAAGATGAAAGTAGATCAAATCAGGTCATGTTTTCTAGTTTAACTTAATACAACCCAAACAAATTTATATCAAATTCTTCATTTAGATAGATACTGCTAATATTATCTGCTAAACATACATGATAAAAAAAGATGAAAGTAGATCGAATCAGGTCATGTTTTCTGGTGAAAAATTGTTTTTCTTAAATTAGGTCCTCTTTTATGTTTACTATTAGATACAAATCCATAAAGAACATGATATTGTTATTATTGGTATCTGTTATTCGGATTCTCTACATATCATTTTAAAGAGAGGAAGTTAAACTGTTGATTAGATACTGGGGCGGAGCGAGGACAAGACCGGTACAAAGTTCTTTTTGGAATAAAATTTACACGAAAGACCGGTACAAAATTCTTTTTGGAATAAATTTACACCAAATTTCCCCATTTAAAAATTAAGGCATTTTATATATTTAAATGGAATGATAAGTACTTTACAAATATGTCACTACTACTATAACACTACTAGTGATCCAACAATCGTCAATAATGAGGCCACTCCATTATATTTGCCATTGTCATCGCAGATAAAGGAATGGTATGTGAGAAAGTGGTGATTGATTCCTAAGTTTTTGTCGGTCCTGGAATCGAAATATCGAATGCATGTTAAGCATGATGTTTTTTTTTTAAATAATGTGAAGCATTTGTTTAGTGGCTGAACTGGCTGCGGCATTGCTGCATTAGTGCAATAGAAAGTTCTTTGTAAAGATAATTTATCATTTTCTTATTTGAGCCTAATCAGGATCCACTAAATTATAGAGCTTTGCAACGCCTCCTAAATATATAGACTTCTACAGTTCTATATTATGGTGTCTAAATATTCAAAATCAAAATTACAGAAATATGCAATAAACCTAAATAAACATCTCCCATGATTTTTTAGGTCGAGTATCACCAATGATTATAAAATAAACAAATTAGGACGTTTTTACTTGGATTGAAATTTGTTGATCTGATCTAGTCTGATCTGAACTGATTTAATTGATAAGTGTCATGTCTTTATATAATTCATAACTATAGAAGTCTGGTTTGATTAAGTCTGATATAAAACTTGAAAAATGAAAACGATCCAAATAAAAACATCCTTAAAAATAAAAACCGTAAATTATGTGTCTACTTGTTTAAAATTTTAACCTATACTACTTTGACAATGGTTCCAATTCTTTAAGATTCTACTTTTTTATTTGAAATTCATTACATCACGTTTCTTTTTTATTATGAAAATCGATCGTATAATAAAGTACTCCGTTGTATTACCCATGATGTAGAAAAAAGTAATGTAAACTATGCATGTATATTTATCTATAAAACTGAAATCATTGTTCTGCAAAAATTGAGAATACTTCAATTTTTCATTAATTTTGAGAATACTGTAATCATAAGGCTTATCCTTAAGCCCGATGGGTGCATAACTGGCTGAGCCCATACCCATACGAGTAAGGCCCTTATTAAATATATCTGTGCAAGCTGAAAATTTGAATGAAAATGTTTAACAAGTAGCTTGCCGGCAGAAACTAACTCCCCAACAAAATGATAATCTATATCAATATGTTTGGCGCGTTTGTGAGCGACAGGATTCTGAGACGGAAAAAAGAACTTTTATTATCGCATACGCAACATATGGGATGTGGTGAGTGGAACACTCAATTCACGAAGAACGTGATCGAAGAATCCAAATTAATTCAGAGGACATGTTGCCATAGTTAGGTATTCGTCAACTGAAAGAGAATCACGACAGAGTGTCTAAAGTTCATGCATTAATTGAGTTTCACGGACTTTAGACTGAAGAGCATATGCCTTTTCAAGGGCAGTACAAACATCCGCAGCAGTTTTGCAACCAAGGTTTCAGACATAGCTTCTTCAGAAAGAGAGGAGAGGAGAAGAATGTGAAGACAGCGATCTTGCGTAATCCAATCATTCACATCTTGAGCAGAGGAGGCGTCGGAAGAGTCATGGGGCAGGGGTGGTATGGAACTGTCAAGGTACCCACAAAGATCCTCAAATTGAAGAAGGGTTTCAACTTGATGCCGCCATAGAAGATAATTGGTAGAAGAACGCTTAACAGTGATCATGTGAATAACAGAATAAGGGTGGCATAGGGAAGAGAGTGATCGGTTTCAACCATGATGGTGGACTGGGGAGAGAAGAAATTGATCGGTCAGGGGTGCAATTAAAGGCAACTGTCTGATACCATGTTAACGATATGAAAACCCAGTATGTAATTCAATATATTATACTACGTACTACGTAGTATTTGAAGAAGAGAGATGGGTAGGACTAAAGATACAAAACAGGCCCGTAAGACAGTATACATAAGCCCACAATACATTGTACACTATCACGAATAATGGAAATCAGTAAATAAAATGAACTTAACAACTATCAAAATTTATTTTTATTGATTGTGAACATTTTCCTCACAATTTCCTACCTTCAAAATATTGCCGTATAGTTTTCTCTTATGTTCTTTCTGTAGCAATGTCTCAACTCCAAACACACAATAATGGTATCTTAGGATGGAGGGTTTTGGAGGGTATTTGGTAAAGAGGGGAAGTAATTGGATGTTATACCATCACATAGGAGTATTATAAATTATGTTAAACCTTTCAGTTTTTATACTCTCTCAAAAACTTCTCTTACAAACCCCTAAAAAAAATTATGATATACGAAGTACGTAGTATGGTTAAGGTTTAATCAAAATGAATGATAGCATAACAGATTATCATATTTCATAAAAAAAATTCAATCAACACAACATCTTTCCCTCGAAACTCCTCATACAAAACTGACCCTTACAAATAAAAAGGGGACGGAACTTAACAAGATTAGCAGCAATTTGATCATCACCAAGACACATGACACCTAAGTTCGAAACAGAAAGAAACAATCTTACTTACATCAAACCTTCATGTTCCATTGGTCCTTTTATAAAGGTAATCTGATTCGCGTTAAAACCGCCTGACTTTAGCCATGTAACTATTAAAGACACAACTATAGCTATTGTGTCCAATCCTTGGATCTTAGCCTTTTATGATTCCATACAAACTAATAACTTAATAGGAGGCAAGATGCATGTTCAAAACTATTGCACGCCCAAAAGATGAAACATGTTTACTTGGCCTTCTACCTTTTTTACTTATCATGAATTAGATATCTTATGAATAATGTTCTAACTGCAATTAAATTCAGTCTGTTTGTTAGATCTAATAAGGCTTGAAACTAGGTACGGTTCAGCCATTCAGGTACCTGTTCTGGATTGGAATTGGGACAGGACTATTCCTGGTCCCTCAAAGACAGTAACCAGAATCACAGTAGTGTTCTACATTACTTGTCTAGGTTTTGGTCCCGGGCAGTTCCTAATTGCATTTTGGAGTAATGAACGGGAGGAGTGGGGGGAAAAACTAGAACAGAGCAGTTCATCCTATTTTGGAGGAACTGAAAATAGACTGGCATAAAATCGGGTTCCTGTTCTGGAACTGCTAATTGGTTAGGTTTTGGTGCAAATAAATGACCAATACCAGGGACGGATCCAGGATTTCTATTCAAGGGGGGTGAAATTTTTTGGTTGTGTAGGTGGTGAAAAAATTTTCGTTAGTGTAGTGGGGTGAAATTTTTTTTCCCTAGTGTAGCGGGGCGAATTTTTTCCGCTACTGTAGGGCTATGAGGCTAATTTTATTCAAAAAATGGCATTAATACATACACATCCCCAACAACATTTAAATCTATTAAGTAGTACATTCTAAGTTTAAATTAGACGATGACAAAGACATCAACCAAGACATTTTTAATAACTTCTACATTGTTTAACCTCATGAATCGGTTATTATTGAATTGTAATTTTTGTCCGGCCACCAAGGAGGGTGTTCGTGAGTCATGACTCATGAGAAGTTTTCTTAATATTACAATAGTAGTATGTATGATATTATTATTTTTAGAATAATATGCACCACATACACACACACACACATATATGGTGCATATTATATTTTAATATTTGTATTAATGCTATAATAATTTAACGTTTATTATCTATGCAATAAATTATTTTTAGAAAGCAAGAAGTAAATGGATTATGTAATTTAATGTCAATAAACATTTATATTTTGGATTCATTTCACGTGATCTAAAAACTGTGTAATTAGTGTGTCTGATATTTAATATTGTTTGATATATATTTTACAAAATCAAGTACTTGTTATCTAATAAAGATAATTAAACATTACAAAACTAGGAATTCTTATATAATAAGTATCCTAAATCTTAAACAACGAGTTATTCTATTGTTTATTTGTTTAAGTTATGTATTTATTTTAGATGTTCTTTCTTTTAAATTTTCAATTAAGTATTACATTATGTAACACTATATATTAATTTTGAAAATTAAAAGCTAAGGGGGGCGAATCTAATTAAATTATGAAAGTTTTATGAAAATATTACATATATGGTAGAAAATTTTGAAAGTCCAAGGGGGGCGGTCGCCCCCCGCGCCCCCCCCCTAAATCCATCCCTGACCAATACCGGTCTAGTTCAGGTATAAAACTGGAACCGTATCCACCCCTACCGACATGAATATAATAGAAAAATGAAAGGGAACAAGAAACTGAGTGTACATAAGCATCTGTAGAAACTAGAATGGCAAGGATCTGGTTCTCTATCGACTATCAGTGTGGCCGATCCGAGCCAGCCGATCAGTGGATCCTGAATGAGTTGACCCCACATGCTCAATCCAAAGACTAGCTCAGCAAACGGACCTGGTGGTGTCACTGAGATCATTGTTTATCAAGCTAGACCATGCCAATATGAGTTCATACACTTAGCATCATCAAACTCATCCGTTTTCATAAGAACATAGAAAACATTGAATACTATCTAGTATGCTTATTTTATATGATAGACGATAGTATTATATTAAAGGAAGCATTTTACTAAGTGGTATATAATTAGATTCATCTCAAAGTTTGAAATAAACATGATCTTACAACATTGCTTATTTTATGCGCCGCTTATTAACGCGGATCTTAATAAGCATCATTTAGTAACCCGTGAAGTAAACGTGTCCTCCTTCTGGACGATCACAGAACTGAGGGGAAAAATTGATGAACATGTTTTCAGATTTGAAAATGGAAAACAAAAAAATAGAAACAGAAAAATGGAGATAGAAAAACTGAAAAATAAAAACAGAAAATCGGAAATCGAAAAACAAAAGTAGAAAATGGGAAAATATCTCTGTTAGTAAACATGCCCTAAACTTTTCATAAATTTGATAACACATTTGCATATGCAACCCATGAGGCTATACTAATGCACTTATCAATTCTTATAAATAAAGGGGGAATTTGACTTTGCACCCCACTTTTTGGTTGATGTTTGGCTTTGCAGTCCATTTTAAAAAAACTTTGATTTTGCACCTCATTTCACTTCAAAATCCTTTGACTTTGCACCCCATTTAGAATTTTTCCTTCACAAATGTTATATGATAGAGTGCAAAGTCAAAGATTTTTTCAAATGGGGTGTAAATTCCAATATCACCTAAAAAAGTGGGGTGGAAAATCAAATTCTCCCATAAACAAACAACATTAAGTTTTTGTTTTGGAATTGGTAGAGATATTTAATTGCTTCTTATAATTTTAAATGCACCTGGTGCATAGGATAGAATCAATGATTCGTATAATAGTATGTATAGATTTGAGATTCAGAAGAGAACAGCCGTAGCGGCAGCGGTAGCGGCAGCGGTAGCGGTCATCGCGATAGCGGCCCGTAGCGGCCTGTAGCCGACTGTAGCGATTGCAGCGGCGTGAATTATTTTGAAATGCACAAAGCATATATTTAATGGGTGTTACCGTTAATAGAAACATTATGAATATTGGTTTGAACACTAATTTATTTTTTCACATCATTCACACAACATTTACACAATTACACATGAAATAGTTCATGATGTACTGCCGGAAATGTCGATAGCGGCCGGTAGCGGGCTGTAGCGGGTTGTAGCGGGCTGTAGCGGGCGGCGTAGCGGATTTTTTCCGTGATTTGGAAATCACAAAGAAATAGCGGGCCGTAGCGGTAGCGGCCCCCTACCGCGACCGCTATAGCGGTAGCGGGCCGCTATTTAAAACCTTGAGAACACATACTCCTTCCGTCTCGAAAACAACCTCCCGGTTTGACTTTCACACCCTTTTAGAAAATAAATTTGACTTTACTGTAGATTGCACTGTTTGACACTGTTTAAACACTGTTTGGCATTGTTTAAACACTGTTTCACACTGTTTAAACACTGTTTGACACTGTTTATCACTTTTTTGATATAGATAATTTGCCAAATAAGGAAAGTATTGAAGTGTGAAGTTAATTTTGGGACATCCATTTAAGGAAAGTGAGAAGTTGTTTTTGGGACGGAGGGAGTATAACTTTATAGTTGAAAGATTCCTGATTTTTACGCCGTTGTTGGAACCAAGTACGCGCAAAGAGAAACTGGAGAGAAGATTGTTAGTTGGTGGTAGGTACGAAGGAACTCCTTCGGGGTAACATCCGAAATATCGCGACGCCGCGGACTGCGGCGGTGCTAAGAAGCTATTGGCACGGCCTGAGTTAACCTTAAAGCCCGACAATCAGTAATCGTGCTCCTCCGCTAGCGCATTTCTTCCAGCACTTTATTTTGAACACCTAGAAGAGATGATCGGCGTTGAGTAGGGGGGCCTCTTCCACCGTCCGATACGACCTGCCGTTGACCATGGGGCCGTGTAAACGACGCAAGTAAATTCGTTGGTGATCATGGACGTCCTGGGTGGACCACAACAGCCCACATCTAATCGGCTTTGGACTACGCTAGTAAATTATGGCCCACATTCGTTTACTATTGTCATAGACTTACCCCGTTATATATGGCCATGGGTAGTTCTATTTACACTTGTAGGGGTGGGCAATTTTCGGTTACGGTTCGGTTTTTTCCGGTTTCGGTTCGGTTTCGGTTTATTCGGTTTGAGAGGATTTGTACCAAATTAAAACCATTTGAGTTTCGGTTTGGTTTCGATTCGGGTTCGGTTCAATTTGAAATTCGGTTCACCAAAGTGAAAACTATCAGGTTGAATTAGTTCGATTTGATTCGGTTTCATATGGTTATTACTACGCATTTTATTTGATCAAGTTCTATATTTTAGAATTAGAAAATGAAAATATTAGTTCATCTCATCTTCTTGTATTCATTATTTGAATAAAAATAGAAAAAGAAATAATAAAATATTATAAATTAACACCTAATTTATCTTACCAACACTGATGACATTAAAACTTCTAACATCTTTTCGATCACTAGAAAAAAGATTCACTTCGCACAAAAAAATTATAGTTAGGTTGATTAGCATTTATAATACTACGTATCACGTAAAATATTCAAAGAAAACTAAATGAGTCAGATGTACAAATGTTGTAATATTCACAATTTTATTAAAAAAAATATAATTGCAATATACTATGTTATCGCCAAACTTCTTTTCATACAGGTAAAGTGCAAAACATAAAAATACAAATATGTCATATTAGCTAACTTTGTCATAATGAATGTAGAAAATGTGTAAGAGAAGTTAAAATGATACTTGTATATGCTAAACATATATTTTTCATGTCTAAATTATATTCCCTCCGGTTTTTAATAAACTTCACACTTTCCTTTTTGGGACGGTCTAAAATAAACTTCACACTTCCTTATTTCCCTTTTTGGCAAAGAAATCTACATCAAAACAGTGTCAAATAGTGCCAAACAGTGTCTCAACAGTGCCAAACAGTGTCTCAACAGTGCCAAACAGTGTCTCAACAGTGCCAAACAGTGTCAAACAGTGCCTCAACAGTGTACTCTACAGTAAAGTCAAATTTCTTTCCTTATTTTGTGTGAAGTCAAAGTGTGAAGATTAAATAAAACCGGAGGGAGTATATTTATATACTAAAGATGAAGAGTGAAGATAAATACAATATATGTATAGGTGTGTGTGTGTTACAAGGAGTTCGGTGTTCGGTTCAGTTTACGGGTTTTCGGTTTTAAATCAAATCAAACCAAACCATTCGGTTTGAGCAAATCCTTACCAAACGGTTTACTTAAATGAACCCAAACCAAATCAAACCACCAATTTTCGGTTAGGTTCGGTTCGGTTAAACCAAACCATTTTGTTCAGCCCTAATTTACAACCCTCTTTTTACTAATTACACACACCAATTTTCGTATTAAATTTTAATTCCCATCGCTTCATCTCAAATGGTAAGTGTTACTCATTTAAGTTGCTTCATCTTGACTTTTCTTCTTGTCCCGATCTTTTTGAAATGTTATCAAAGAAAATAGTTCTCATGTGAATGGAGAAGATAATTAGATCTGAACTTTAAGGTGAATGGAGAATGCACCTCAAACTTTGCTTCTTACTCATTTAATTAGAGAAAGTTGTCTTTAAACCTGAACAGTAGAAATTACATTGGTTTTAGTTTGAAAGAAGTACGGAGTAATTGTTTATTGAAGCAGCTGCAATTTTGAGCTGTTTGTCTTTCTCGAATCTAATGTAGTGAAGACTACACTGTAATTATTCACTTTGTTCCTGAAGTTAATGAAATTTATCCTTTTTCTTGTTCAACTTGTTTTTAACAATATCATCAAAAGATAACGTTTTTGAATTAGCTCAAGCTTTTCAAAGAGCTAGAGTAATTGCTTAATGTAAAGGGCACTTTAGTACCATACTTTGTTTTCAACATGCTTTATCATTGTGCTGTCTCTTTTGTTAGCTTAGATTGTGTCATTGTGAGTGATTATTTTTTAGATGTTCTCAACAGGTAATGTTCTGTGTTATGAACCTTGGGTGATCAAAAGATGGCTTCTAAGTTGGCTACCTCAACATGATTAGGACAAACAAAAGTAATAAGAGAGGAGCTGCAATACAAGTGAACCAAAGGGTGGATATGGATTGGTTCTAAATCGAACATTTGTTGATTCCGTAAATGCTATAATATAAAATTATAGTACGTATGATTTTAGTACCGGTCTGAGTTTACTATGGGTTCAACTTGAGTCCAGGTGGGTTATAGATTGTATTATTATGAAGTATAGTGAGGAGGGGGGGGGTGGTGGTGGTGGTGGTGGTAGATACGCATAATTTAGAGGAACCAGAATAATATCGGGTTATCAAGGTGATTACTATCCGCATCCATTTAAACCTCATCATTCAACTCACTATTTTATGTATACATTCATTATCTTTGATTTTAGAACTTTCTCCATGGCTTGTGTGCATGCTTGGTAGGTATAAATTCCTACCTTGCATGGATTGAGTTTCATTATTATTATTATCTACTAAGGTTATATGAGACCTACATATGATTGCCTTCTATTAGGCGTGATGAATTGTGTTACACACCTACTTGTTGGTTGCTGGCACCCGTCCTTTCTTTAATACACAAATAAATAATCAACAATTAGCTGACTTGTTTTTTTAACTGTTTTGTTATTCGAAATATCTAGATGTACTTTATCCCCTTAGTTCTGGCTTAGCAGCCGCATGTGGGAAGAATATTAGAAATATTTTGCAACATTCACTCTAACGGCAATACATCATAGGGGAAATGGTTTTGACCTATAATATTATTGATTAGTACTCAAACATGCTTTAATTAGATTACATGATTGAGAAACTTGGCATAGAACCGAGCATAACTCAAGAATTGGGGAATTTGCTGTATAAGAATTATGGCACTACAAAAGTGGCTTCTTTTTAATTCCTTTACGAAAGAAGCTGATGTCCTTGTTTATCACATACAAATTTTGCTTATGAGAAAACTGTAATGTTTTTCCCAGGCAATTGGCTATGATTTCAGATGAATATTGCAGGTGAGAATTCAATCAAAGTGCTTTCTGTAACCCCATATTCACACAAACAATACCTTTTTTTCACACCCACAATTCTGTCATTCAATATGTGTGGTCGTGAGAATCAAAGCATTAGCTTATCTATATTAAAATCAATAAATCAAACCACATGCATTACAATACACTCAAGATCACACTAACCCCAAACATAAGCCCATTGATAATACTTTGACTCTACTACCCACAAACGAGCCGCATAAGTCGCTAATCATGTAATGGACAAACTAAAGCTTAACATCACTATGTCAGTCTTCATGTTTCTATAGTGATTTGAAACACTTACAACCCTACCAAAAGCAAAACGAATATATATAAAGTAATGCAAAGTCCTGATATAGGCGAACCTACAAAAAACAAAGTGATGTAATGAAATAATAAAGCAACAAGTCATCATATCAGTTTGCAGTTATGCTGCATCCTAATGACATTATTCCAGCCTTGTACTGAATTTGTTATTAAAAATTTCGTACTAATCCTTCCTTCTGTGGCGGTGGTTCTTGAAGAGGGCGGATCAACAGTGTCGTCATAGGTGGGTTGAGAAGCATTATGATATTTGAGAAAAACACATCTAAAACTCGATGAATGTCATTAATAACAATTGAACAATAGCATAACTAGGCACTAGCATCATTAATTTGATAAGAAATCACTCATAACACCACTGTCAAAATTGACAGAAGAAGAACCTAGAAAAGAATACACTAGTTTGAAAAAAAAACAGATCACACACTGGTGAGGAAATTGCGGAGTAATATTGGTTGAATTTTCCTGTGTTGTGAGACCCGGACCGGCCGGTCCGACCCGGAACCCGGTCAACCGGCTTAGTTTAGGGTCCGGTTGGACATCAAACCGCAAATGTGGTAAAAACCGCATTTACCCAGCGACCCAGGTAGAGCCGCGACGGACCTAACCCATGTCAAACTCGGAAAATGGCAAAACCCGAAGAAACACACGGACTGCGGGATTCGATCCTACGCCAACCGCTCTTACTTAAGCTCCAAACCAGTGAACTACACTAGCTACTTGAAAATAAGAGGTCGCTTTGCTCTTCTTATACATTCGAAATCTGTAGCATTACAATTGCCTTAATTTGTTTGTTAATGAACTAATTTATAATACATACAAACAAATGCTATTTTTATAATACCTCAATCCTCATTACGTATGTTATCTTTACTTTTCTCTTTTTATTTTCTTTTATCATTGATATAATGTTCATATTTATCATCTACCTATACACAAATGTATTCAAAATTGTGTTAAAACCAATATAGTTTAATGCAATAATTTTTTTGAAGTACTTACATTGTATTATAAATATTTAATAATGAATGGATATAAGTTTTCAATTTATAAGTTTATTTTTTATATTATTATATGTATTCGCGTTGACCGGGTTTGCCGGTCGTTGACCAGGTTGACCCACCGGGTCTGGGTTGACCCGTGACCCCGTCACTTGTCCGGGTCGCTCACCGGTCCGGTTCTTACAACATAGGAATTTTCTACGTTTCTTGCTTTCTCCCTACTATAGTTTCTACTTCTGTGGCCTTTTGCGCTTCTTCCGAGCTTTCTGCGATTGTTTCTGTCCTGCCGCGCTTCCAGGTTTTTCAAGCCTTTGTGTAGCAAGGTTAACGACCCTCCCTAAACGATTGTTAAATAAAGCAAGGGTAATTAAGATATTGTATTATTTTTATTTTTTATTATTTAAATTTGTGGCTGTGTTTAGCAATTCAAGGGTTTAAAAGGCCTAATGCTTTAACCCACAACCAACTATAAGAACTTGGTCGATGAGATTGCCTTTACCAATTTATATACTAGTATACTACGTACTATATACCTTCCCATATGACAAAAAATACCTCCACAATTTAAACATAACACTAAAATTTCAATCATATTTAATTTCTAAAATCTCAAATTACTTAACAATACTTTCATCATATTATAACTCCCAAATGTGTTTCTTTTTATGATAATAAATTCGTGACAGAATATTGTAGTGGTGTAAACGGCATAATGATCACGATCCATACATATTACGTAGTATTAGGGATGTTTGGAACGGCTTCTGCTTCTTTTTTAAAGTGGAAGCAGAATCAGAATCAGTTTTCAGAAGCTGGTCCCCCCACCTTCTAAAAAAAATTGATTTTAGGAGTAAATTAAAGCACCAGAATCAATTCCATATTTTCACCCAAACACTTCAACTTCTGATTGTGCTCTCTGAAGAAGCAGACGCAGTTTTAGAGCATCTCCAACGGTAAAATGTGCACGGTGCACACGTGGCATGAGAGATAGCAACATAAATATTAGTAAATAAATTCTTTCTCTCCTTATTTGAATGATTTTATATAGTTTTGGTAAGTTCTTCTCCACAATGTCAAGGAGACCGTTTAGATGTTGACATTGTTGTTGACATTGCAGGGAAAAACTTACCAAAATTGTATAAAATCATTCAAATAAGGAGATATATAATTTATTTACCAATATTTATGTGACCATCACTTGTGCCACATGTGCACCGTGCACATTGTAGCATTGGAGATGCTCTTAGAATCAGATCCAAACATCTTTTAGTTCTCCTCTTTTGCATTCAATTCTTCTTATACATTCCAAATTTTCACTTATGTTCATGGGGTAGATATCCTTTTAGATTTTTTGTTTTTTTTTTGTTTTTATTGTTCTTGAATTCTTTTAACCCATTTTACCACTTGTAGACAAAAGTATTACTATAATTATTCTGCATGATCACTATAGTAGTAGAGTTAAACACAATAATGATCACTAAAATTATTATGATAGTCACTAAGTAGTTCGAAATCTTTATTTCGATAATATATTTTTTTATTAATTCACTTTATTATGATTCCTTCATTTAAGAATGTTTTGATTCATTTCATATAAAATGACAAGCTCTTATTCACGCATATGATTAATTCTCTCACAAATTATTTATTACAATAATGAAGAAGAATTATGAGGGACAAACTCTTTTTACTGTGAACAAAATTACTTACATGATAAAGAGTTCTAAATTGTAGAATCTCACGTACAAGCGAACTCTCTCTTCTACATAGAGAGAAAGGAACCCTAGCGGCCATCTCTGCACTTTGTAGGGGTTGAGATTTTAAGCCGCCCCTCTCAATATGAGGTTGGAGCAGCAGATTATACTGGTTTTAAGTGTTTTAACACCTGGGATTGCAACTACGTCAGAGGAGATACAACTCGCGGATGAACGAGGTGTGGCTGAGAGGTGATATCAATGTTGGATCATGAAGCTTTGGTCGGACATTCCGACGGTGGTGGAGTTGCAAGAGTTCGTCCTCCTCCGAGACCACCTTCATACCAGGAAGAGTTTTATGGAAAGATTTTATTTCAGTATTATTATCTCTTAAGTAGCAATTGTTTCTGTTTTAGTCCGTGTAGATTTGATTTGAATGTTTGGATTTTTGGAGTTCTTTTGATGGATAAGGTTTCGGTTCCGGTCGTTTCAGGTCTAAATTTGTCTGTTTCAGGTTTAGCATGTCATGTTGTTTTGTATGAGGTGGTTGACTCTACGTCTACTCCTAGGGTTCACGATTGGATCTCTAAATTCTATTTGAAAGTTTTTTTGTATGTGTTATCGATTTCAATATAACGGCCGCTCTTTTATGATAAAAAAAATACTTACATGATTACACCCTTAAAATTACTCCCTGCTCGCTTAAAATTTTACGATTTTTGAAATTTTAACCAACTATATTTTTTTTTGTGAGAAGAAAGCTTAAATTATAGGGAAAATGGAAACTAATAATCCAACCTTTTAGCGGTCTTCTTTCAATAATCCCACCTTTTGATTATTCATGAATAATCCAACCTTTGCACCTCATCTTCATTCACTGGTCCCTGACCGGTTGATGACCTGCTATTCCAAGCTATTTTCTTATCTTTGCAAATCATTATACCATAAATCTCATCTTTCACAAAGATAATATTTTGAAAAGATAAGAAAATAACTTGGAATAGTAGGTCATTAACCGACCAGGGACCAATGAATGAAGATGAGGTGCAAAGGTTGTATTATTCATGAATAATCAAAAGGTGGGATTATTAAAAGAATACCACTAAAAGGTTGGATTATTAGTTTCCATTTTCCCTAAATTATATTAAAACAAAACATCATCCCACCAACGCCCACCACTGGAACATATATCATCTATTTCTCACTTCAGTGATAGTAATACCTCTAACCTGCAAGTAGGGATGGCAATTTAATCCGACCCGATGGATACCCGCACCGAACCGAACCGGTCAAAATGGGAAAAACCGTTTTGACTGGGTAACGGGTACGGGGCGGGGAATACCCGATTTATGTAAACGGGTAATGGGACGGTTATGGGTTTATACCTACCCGCCCCGTTACCCGCCCCGTTTAATTTGGATACGGTTACCCGCACCATTACCCGACCCGCACAATTAACTTATATATTTTAATAGTTTATGTATTTATTATTTAATATATTAAGTATATATGAATATTAGTACATTAGTATATGACACTTATTCTCTCTAGTACTTTGAAACAATATTCAACTTATCGGCTATCCTTTGCAATTCTGATGATCGAGTTGGTGCTCAGAGTTCACTATTTTAGATTTTAAATTTTCAATATCATTCATCATCCTTCCTTTGTTAACTTCTATAATATTCCTTCGAAAAAACCTCTACAATATTTATTTTCTTCACATATTGATTATTTGATTTTCGTGACTTTCTTTACGCAATTTCCACATTGTGACTCTCTTAGTTTTTCACCCAATAACTTTCATAAAACTCACGTATGAGTTTAAAGTCAAAATATTGCGAAACATTACTCTAGCTTGCTTTAATTTATGTAATTGCTAATAATTTTGTAAAGGTGTATTGGATGATTAGATTAATTTTGATTGGTTGCTCTAATTTATATCAAGGTTTAAAATTTAAATTATGTTTTTTTTCTAAAACAGTAACTACAAGAATACCTAAATCATAGTATTAGAAGTGCCTTTTAAATAATTCCAAATCTATAATCAAAATAAAAGTTGTGGACAAAAATGCGACTCTAGTAACTTTAGTGTTTATAATTTTATTCAAATGTTATGTCGTAGTGATTACAAAACTTACTCATGGTAACTTATAGTCAGATTTATGTTCATATCTTTTTTATTAGAGGTATTTTAGGGGGAAAACTTCCCATTTTCATTATGTTACTTGTATACATTATTGTTCTTCAATTAATTTAGATGTTGAATGTTGGTAGGGGTATGCTTATTGAATGTTTGGAAGTTAAATGTTTTTGTGATTCATATTTAGTTTTTACTATCGAGACAAGACTTACTCTTTTGATGTTGATGTGGTAAGAGATTCAATTTGAATCTAGGCATATATAATTTGTGAATATTAGATTCAAACAATTGTAACTTTTTGTCATGTTTTAAAAATTTTTATCTGTGGTACTATTTAATTTTAATTTTTTTTAATTTAGGTGGTCAATGATAAGTAGTTAATAATCATTTTAGGATCTATACTAGTTTAGAAGGAAAAAAATTATTTTTTAATAAAACGGTTACCCGCGGGGAAACCGTTACCCGCGGGGAAAACCGTTACCCGCGGGTAAAAAATACCCGACGGGTAACGGGGCGGTTTCGGGGAATTTTTTTATCAAACGGGGCGGGTACGGGTAATGGTATACCCGACCCCGAACCGCCCCGTTGCCATCCCTACCTGCAAGCGCCTAGTTAAAGCCACCTAAACGTTCAAAGTGACCCTAATGCGCATAACCAACCTTTGTTTTCCTCTAGAAGAGCTCTCATCCAGTTGTACAAAAGGAGCTGATGCTATTGGCTATACCACGTGCAGCCTTTGCCATCATATAGCTTAACGGTAAATCATGTACTTGGACCCAAAAATCTGCATGGTCCAGTTCAACCTCTAGAGGCTTATCAATGCGTTCCAATCGTCGAATAACCACCAAATTCTGCTCGAAGGACCAAGGCCCTTCCTCCACAACTCTATTCAGGTCTCCTTCATGATAGAACCCTAACATGAATTTTGAGTCCTCAATTTCATCAATAGAGACTCCTTTCACTGGCCTCCTGACAATAGCCATTGTTTGATAGAAAGAAACAACACAAACAGGTTTGTCAGACACCACTCGAGCCACCGCCCCTAGATTGACCCCCTCATTAGTTCCGCCCTCTTGTTCCAGCGGGCAGCAACAACTACCAGTCCCATGTTCTCCTCCTTAGCAATTGATAACATGTTAACATTCTTCGAGATCATATTTATTTTCAGCCAAAAAACGGTAATCACCAATGCAACAAATTACATAACAACGAACTCGAACCCAACCTCACCAACAGAGACCTTCAATCGAAGAGCCAAACAAGACTCTCGGCCGACACCACAACAGAACTCTCGGCCAGAACCAGCCGGACAGAAAACCTCGGAATGAATCCGGACAAGGAAGAAAAACGTGAAAAAACTCACTAATAGAACAGAGTTATGGAACCTACCTTGAGGAGATGCCACACCGCGCCTCCGTTGCAAGCCTGTTCGGTCACCGATCTGCTACTCGCTCTTGCGCCACCTTAGTCATCGCCGCTGCTAGAGTTTTACCGCACCATGGCTCCAGTCTACTTCGCAAAGTTACTTTTATTGAATGCTGTTTTTAATTAAATTAAAATACTCGTGATACATATTCAAGTTAAATTCTGCCCTCTTAAAACTTTGGGAATGGACAACTAGGATATTTTTACTTGGATTGGAATTTTCTGATCTGGTTTGTCTGGTTTGGTTTGGTTTGGTCTGGTAAATGTCTAGTCTGTGTATATTTTATAACTGTCCAAGTCATGTCTAGTTTGGTCTTGTTTGATCTGGTCTGGTCTGATCAGGGACTGAAAAAATCCAATTAAAAACATCCTAGGATGTTTTTACTTGGGCTGAAGTTTTTGGTTTGGTCTGATTTGGTCTAGTCTGAACTGGTCTGGTCTGGTAAATGTTTGATCTCTGTGTATTTTATAACTATCTAAGTTAGGTCAGGTCTGGTAAGGTTTGATTAGATCTGGTCAGGTGTGGGCCGTGTGGCTTGATCTGATATATCTGGTCTGGTTTGGGGGTGATATAAGTCCTTGTAAAAACATTCTTGAATTATACTCCCTCCGTCCCGAAAAGGTTGGCCAAAGTTGACTTTAATGTGGATTAAAAAAGTAAAAACTGTGTGGTTGAAATTTGTGCAGTAGAGAGAGAATTAACTTTAGACACATATTCCTTACTTTAAATGGAAATGACAAATCTTTTTGGGACATTCAAAAAAGGAAATTTGGCCAACTTTTTCGGGACGGGGGGAGTACTCCGTACTCCGTAATTGAATGGAGAATTATTTTGAATTATTCAATTTAATTAAAATAGGTGACAACTCCGGTAGTCCGGTACCCTTTTAAAAATTGGGGTACCGTACATACCATGCGTTTGATTGGTCCAAATCATTCTATTCCCTTTAATTTAGATTTAATAAATTCAATTGCATCACTTCTATTGGTGCATGTAGACAAAAGTATGATATCTTAAGGGTACCGTAAAATTTACCTTTAAAATAACCGGCAAATAACCGGCATGAAGTGTGTTAAATTATACTCCGTATTGGAAACGGATTGAATGGAGAATAAATTTGAATTATTAAAGTTTTAAATGGGTAGTTCCAACTTTAAAGAACATTAAGTTTCTATTTGTTTGAAAGTTTATTAGTCCTTATGTCGTTCTTATAAATTAGTATACTTCCTGTTTATTCATAAAGAATTATTGGGGGCACAGCCGACCCCTTTGAACATGAATCTGCTTATCTGCCGCCATTCGGATTGACGATAATAATGTCTTTCCATCAATACAAATAAGCCTTTTATCATACATACAGGGCCTGCTTTACTTTATGTTCATGTTTTATTCTTCATTTGTAATAGTATATTATATATGCCTTGTCACGCTTTGTGAAGAAGTGATGGTTTGTGGCTAAATGAAACATGAAACATCATATTAAAAAAGAGAATTTTTTTACTCAATTACTTCTCCTGGAACATTGTTTGAGGCTACGATCATTCAATTAATCTTTTAATTTGCGAGGGAAGTAGGGATACCGGATACATTTTCCTTATGAGAGCACCCGGATCACGCCAGAAAGCATGTCTTTTTACCACAATAGTCTTCTATGTTGGGTTGAAAATGCTGAAAAAATATGGCACCGAAATTGACTATAGCCATCAAAGTATCAAACCAATTAACATGTTATAGAACGGGGTGATTTTTTTAGTGCTGAATCAATCTCAAATCGATCCCAAACGGCAGGACCTTGTAATGAATTTGAAAGCCCTAGTTCCAAATATAAAATTGAGGCTCCATATACGAATATAAATGGAATCACATATAATAACAATTCACATAGTTCCTTTCTAAAAAAAATCTCACATAGTTCAACAAAACTAATTGTCAAGTGTTCATATAGATAAACACGATTTAAAACAATCACATATTAATATTATACGGAAAAGGGTCAAATAGACCCTCAAAATAACTTAAAAAGTGCAAATCATCCTATTATAGGTTTTATAATTAATATTACTCTCTTACATATTTGGTCTTGTTACTAATGATCAATTTGTGCAACTTATAGGCTCTTAATTTCAACAGGAAATTACACTTTCGGCAGAAAATTGGCACCGGTGATGTCTTTTCAAGTAAATTACACAAATTTATTATGAATAGGATCAAAATCTGGAAAAAATAAAGTTGCGAGGCCAATATTGGACAGAGCTGGAGGTTACATTCCTAAAGTTGCCAATCTTTATTTTACTATACTATTAAAAGTCTATTTGGTCACCTTGGTTTTCGTCTTATCAGTCAACTTTTTTACCAAACACGTAATAATGTTGGATTTTGCGCGCCGATTGTGTAATAATGGCCGGAGTTACTTTTCTGTTTGTATTTGGTGAAGTTATTCTAGTGGATCATACGTAATACTACGTATAATTTTTCTTTACTGGTTGTATTAGCTATTTTTCATGTAATTCTTTCTTTATTTTATTAATAACATTTTTTTTAAAATATACTATTTTGAAAAAGTAGTCAATTAATTTAGTCACTTTAGCAAGAACTTTATAAATTTCAGCAAAATCAGCCGATTCAGACAATTTCAATGTTCTCAAACATTATGTAAATCAAAGTTGGTGGTTATCCATTAAAACTACAGTCAATTAGGCTCTGTCGGTGTATAATTGTCATCACAGTGGACTTTTTTATGAAAGATATTATGTAGAGTTTTGTTAGAAGAATTTAACTTTGCGCCCCACATTTTAAAGATATTTAACTTTGCATCCCATGTTCAGATATTAATAAAAAGGTAGATTCTATGGTACCCAAAAGGTACCATACCTTTGTCCACTTGGACCAATCAGAATGTTGCAGTTGAATTATTTAAATCTAAATTAAAAATGATTTAATGATTTGGACCAATCATGTTAGTGGTAGGTACGGTACCTCATTTTTTAAATGGGTACCGAAGTTGTCACCTAATAAAAATTGTACTTCATTTAGTAGTATACTCCGTATTACCTATGATCTAGCTTTGAAAGGACTTGGTTAAGACTTAAGAGGTCATGTTTGTTAAATGTATCTCATATAGGTCGAATATATGAACATATAAACTCATTTATACGACTTTAATTTAAAGTGTGTGAGCAAGTGTATATATACGTAGTATATATAGTGAACATCCTTCTCAAGAAGGGGAATTTATGGCATCTTCAAAGCAAAATTCAATCCATTTAGAAATTTATGGCTCAGATTCAAGCCAGTATTTTTCATTGTTACCGAGAGATTAAGAGCCCGTTTGGCAACCCTTTTTTCGGCTTACCAGGCTTATTAGCCAACTTTTCATCAAACACATGCATAATTTTTTATTTCGCGCGCTGAATTGAGTAATAAGCAGAAAAAGTAAGGTTGGAGTTATTTTTCTGGCTGTATTGGCTGAAGTTACTGTAGATGACCATTTTAGCTATTTTTACATATAATTTTTTCTTTATTTTATTAATAAAATATATTTTAAAAATATTTTTTTCTTAAATCAGCAGAATCAGCCAATGCAGCCACTTCAACCAGAACTTCATAAATTTCAGCAGAACCAGCCAAAGCAGCCAATTTTTGTGCTACCAAACAGCCTCTATAACAAGGCGACACATCTTCTAGCTCATCATGGTGGACTGGGCGCTGCTCTGAAGATTTTCTACCAGCTAGTCTCTCTTCCTTCTCATATCAAGGGTGTTCTTTTGACGGACCATATTCCAGCGAGCTCTTACACTATGATTTCCATTTTTATTTGGTGTTTTGGGGCTCTTATTTGGCGTTTTTTTGTATGGCTTTTCATTGTATTCTTTTTTTAATGAGCTTTGGTTTTGGTCCTGTAATTGCCTCTTATTTGGCGTTTTTTTAATTATCTCATTTTGGTGGTTTGGAGTAAAAAAATTATGTAGTATATATAGTTCTAATTACCACATTTCCGGAATTTATCTCACTGATTTTGGTGGTTTAGAGAAACAAAAATTACGTAGTATATATAGTTCCTAATTACCACGTTAGCTATGCAACGTGTTGATGTTCAAGGAAGAATGTGAAGTGTTAAAAATGGACTTTCATAAAAATCATGATGCCACAAGTCCACAACATTGTGTCCCCTCCCTACCCCAAATAAATACTTCCACATATCCATATGTTAGTGTAGCATGCGGGTCAAGAGCTCATTTAGCTTTCTAATTGAATTGATAGTATGTAATGCGCAGTTAATGTGCATATATATATTCCAGTTCAAGTCACGCAATCATTCATTGTTATGCATATCCTTCGTGTTCCATGCCGTTGATGAGTGCTGCATTAACTTGTAAGAAGAAAAAACAATGAAGTGAAGGCAATGTGACAACTTAAGAGGATATATGTTTTATTTTCAAAAAAAAAAAAGGATATATGTTTTCACCTATCAATGCGTTATAAGTATACAATATTAAGGTCATGTCACATTGGTGTGAAACCAAAAATATCGTGCCAATATGTTTTCTCTAGTTAGCTAAAGCATACTGTATCTTTAATTTCTATTTGTGAAACTTTTTTACGAATGACTCCCTTCTCTTAATCACTACAGGAATTCTTGATATTGGCGCTAAAATTTTGTGGCGGAAAACATTTTGACGCTATTTAGTGTCGGGTTTTAATTAAGTTAGATATGTATTGGGCGGTGCTTAGTGTCGTTTACTTTGTAATTTCATCATCATCATCTCATCCCACACGTATTCGTGGAGTAAGGGGTGTCGGATGTACGTAGTCTTACCCCTGTATCAAAGTATAGAGAGACTATTTCCGAATGACCTATAGTGAAAATCGCGTCGAAAATTGCAGATTTACTGTTATTTCATAATAAAGAAGCTCACACAATTTAGTGAGCCGTTTTGCTTTGTTCCATCAAATTCCCAACCAAAAAAATGCTTTAATTTGCAATTTAATGACCGAAATACTTTCGTTGTTATTTGTTGACGAAAATTATTGGCGGATCCATCCGCCACTAAACTCCGACAAATACATTCACTCCCTCCGTCCCTCCATACTTTGCCATGTTTGACCGACACAGGAAATAATAACATAATAACTATGTGGTTTAGATATGTGCAGAGGAGAGAAAAATAACAGGAATCACAAATTCATTAATTAAAAGGGAAAGTGGCAAAATTTTTGGGACATCCAAAAAAGGAAGTTAAAGATGACAAAATTATAAGGAACGGATGGACAAACTAGACTTGATGAGGAACATACTCAAAAAATTTCATCAAACAATTCCACCAGGAAGGTCCCCAAATGGCATCGGCCTGATGGCGGTTCCCGTCAGGCCGGCCTGACAGGATCAGTCCTCTCGGTGATGATGTCAAAAAAAAAACTAATTCCATATGGGTCGGGACTCATTTGTATCTTACAATTTGTATATAGGGCCTACGGGCTACGTCCTACATACATGTTCCCCATTTTATTAAATTACTTAAAATTACTTGTAATACTTTAATTTTTTTGTTTAGTTCTCTCTTTTTTTAAGAAGAATTTTATTGATAAAAAGAAGGGTACAATGCGAGAAAAATTAAACAAAACATAAAGGAAATTACACAACAGTGCAAAAGGGAAAATAAAATTAAAAAAAGAAACTAGGTCCAAGGAAATTCTTTGGTCTGAGACCTTGTCCTCATGTTGTGGCGCCTTCTGTTTTTTTTTTTTGGGATTTTCTGTAGATTTTGAGCTGAGTGTTCAATTTTTCTGTCGGAAGACAATTATCCGAAGTTATGAACTTAGATTTTTTGCAAATTGCTCTGTTGAACTGCGAATCCCTAATATCTTCTTGTTCTAAAATTGGTGGCCGACAATCACTTTCGGTTATATGCCCCAGAAAGTCATCTGAGAAGTATGAGTCATCCGATGGGTCAAAGAAGTCGGAAGCATCCGAGTACGCCTGAATAAGTGGTAACTTGTGCTGTTTAGTTCTCTCCTCAAATCCAATATAAGTCCATAAATATAGAAAAGATTAAGTTCATCTGTTCATATAGAGCCCGTTTGGAGAACTCTGTTTTCGGCTTATCAGGCTTATCAGCCAGCTTTTTCACCAAACACGTAACTTTTACTTTCGCGCGCTGAATTGTGTAATAAGCCGAAAAAGTAAGGTTGGAGTTACTTTTCTGGCTGTATTGGCTGAAGTTACTGTAGATGACCATTTTAGCTATTTTTACATATAATTTTTTCTTTAATTTATTAATAAAATATATTTTTAAAATATTTTTTTCTTAAATCAGCAGAATCAGCCAAAACAGCCACTCCAGCCAGAATATCATAAATTTCAGCAGAATCAGTCAAAACAGCCGATTTTGGTGCTACCAAATGGGCTCATAGTAATAAATGCATATGGTCCTTCGGTCGATGTTTCTAAAAGGCTAGCTAGGATGTTTCAGCCACTAAATTAGTCTTCAAGAAAATGGCCGAAGAAATTGTTGGGATATTATTTAATCCTAATTCTCTCATATGTTCTTGTTATTACAATTAAGGTAGGATGGCAAAGCAATTAGACTTGGCTTTATTTCTTCTTGGGTTATCTCTTGTAAGGGTTGTTTGGGTTATTTGTTATTTAGGCCTGTTCGGTTGAGCCTCTTGTATTGGGCCTATTATTAGGGTCCGGTATTTTGGTTAGCTCATCTGCCCGAATTGGAAGGATATATATGCATCCTTCATCCTCTCCACTGCATTATTCCGCTGCATACCCTGATAACCTAGAGAGAGACGTTCGAGATAGAGTCTGTTAGATCTGTAATCTACTGCGATTAATGCCATCTTCTTGTGACGATTGAGAGAAAGGAGGAAGCCTGTCCATCGGAGTTGTCTTCTCGTTCATCCGGGAGTCTTCTTCTGCCTTCGAATTCCTATCTGGATTCGATTCGGTTAACTCTGAACTTTCTTTTGTTTTAATCGTTATGAGTCGTTTGTCTATTGATTGTTTGTAGTGTCTGATCTGTGTTTAATTGCTTTGCAACCATCTTGATTGTAAAACCTTTCTGAGCTAGTGGATCTGTTTGGGACCGGGTTTCCCCTGTTGAAACCCCGCAGATTAGGAAGTTATCTTCCGAACTGCGTCAACATATCGTGTGTCTTTTACTTTCTGTATTGCTTCATTTGCATGTTTAAAGTATTGAGATCCGATCTGTGTGACTGTGACTTCGTTAAGTCTGAGAACAAATTTGGTATCAGAGCCTTGTGTGCTTTCTTGAAATCTGAACTCTAACCTTTGGTTTGAATTCATGATTCCTTGAAACCCTAGTTCTTGACTACTCTTATCTGTTCGCATATTCTAGTATTTTTAGATAGTCCAAGTTCTTAAAACCCTAGCTCAGAATTGTTCTGTCTTGTGCTTGCTACAGTGTGCTTTGACTCTATTTGATATCTTCTCTTGTGTATATCTGTTTTTCTTGAGTCCACATTGGGAAAATGTCTGACTCTAGTACCAAGATTCGCATCTTTGATGGTACTAGTGATTTCCCCATGTGGCAGCTTAAGATGAAGGCTCTGTTGATGAAGCAAAAATGCTTCAAAGTTGTTTCTGATGATGAAATATCTGGAATATCTGAGTCTGACTTAATTGAATTAAAGAATGCTGCCTACTCTGAACTGATAATTCACTTATCTGATAATGTTGCAAGAAAATTTTCAACTATAACTGACCCTAAACTGTTATGGAATGCCCTGGAATCTACCTACATGAAGAAGTCTATGTCTAGAAAAATCTCTCTGCTATGTAGGTTGTTCACTTTTAAGATGAATGTTTCTGTGTCTCTTTCTGATAATTTGGATAATTTTCTAAAACTAACACAAGAAATTGAGAAAGTGGACGAAAAGATAAAGGATACTCATCAAGCTGTCATTCTTCTAAATTCTTTGCCTTCTCAGTTTGATAACTTCAAGGATGTCATTCAGTACTCTAATGAAGATCTTACCCCTGGTAAGATCATTGATTCTATACTAGAGAAGAATGAGACCCTTAAAGTGTTCAAATCTAAGAATGATCCCTTGAACAATGAAAAGGCTGAATACAAATCTGAAGCCTTAGTTGTGAAGGGTAAATCAAAGGGTAAGAAAAATGGCTCTAAAAAGAAGAAACAAAATGATAAGGAAAATTCTGAAAAGAAAGGGTTTAAGTGTCACTACTGTGGCATAGAGGGACATTTTGCGAGAGACTGTAGGAAAAAGAAAAAGGATAGACAAGGTGACACAAAACCTGCTGTTAATCCTAATTCTAATTCTGAGTCTGCCAACTTAATTCAACATGAATTGCTTATCTGTTCTGATTCTTCTTTGAAAAATGAGTGGATCCTTGATTCTGGTTGTACTTTACATGCCACCCCCAATAAGTCATTATTTTCCTCATTACATTTGTATGATGGGGGAAAAGTGATGTTGGGGGACAATACTGCTTTGGATATTAAGGGTATTGGTAATGTACCTCTAAGGATGTTTGATGGAGTTGTTAGGGTTATTCAAAATGTGAGATGGGTTCCCTATTTGAGAAGAAACTTGCTGTCTGAATCTATTTTTGATGAGTTAGGCTGTAGTATTGTTACTCAGGTTGGCATTAAGATGGTTTCCAGAAATGGTAATCATCTTATTAAAGCTGTTAAAAGTGGGGGCCTTTACATTGTTGAAGGTTCCTCTGAACTGAATATAGCTGCCCCTGAGTCTAACATTACTATTCAAAAACAAACTGAAATGTGGCATAAAAGGCTTGGTCACATTGGTAATGTGGGCCTGAACAAACTGTTTAAAAATGGAATGATTGACTTTAAACCCAGCCAAATTGATTTTTGTGAAAACTGTATTTTTGGAAAGAAGACTAGACATCCTTTTGGTAAATCGACCTATACTGCAAATCAACCTCTTGATCTGGTCCATGCTGATCTATGGGGGCCTTCAAAAATTGGAACAATTGGAGGG